CGCTCAACCCCCGAAGGGCTCTGAGCGGTTTACATAGCACAATTAATTACATTACCTCACTAGGGCCACACATTGAGGGGAAATGACTGCCTATCAGGCACCCGTGGCAGGGTCTTGGTTGTTGTTTCTGCGGAGGTTCTTCTTAGTCCCGGGTGACGACGTCTTGGCGCAGATTTTTCTTCGGCCGCAGCGACTCCTTCCGGGGATGGTCCCTCAGTGCACGACAGCGCGTGCTGCCGCAGCTGGCCTCTCTCCTGATTGGCTCCGGCCTACCATGCTGCCCCGCCGCCGCGCCCTGCTGGCCCGATCTCCGTCCGGCCCGCTCGATTCACCGCCACTGCCACCGCCATGTTTTGTCAGCTGCCGTCGCCACCACTCCACCGCTCAGCCACCGCCGCTCCACCAACACTGAAGGGAAGGAGGGTGCCCCCCCCCCCGCTCTAAGAGCAGGTACCCATTCATCTACTCGCCCGTACGGGCTTTCTAACCGCTGGGTGGGCGGGAGCTGGGACACAGACCGGGAGCTCACCCCGGCCGCGGTGGGACTCGAACAGCCACCGAAGCTGTTCGGTCAGATGGTGTATTGTGGGCATTTACTGCCTGCGCCACCGCTCCCTTTAACTTAGAAGACATGTTCCACGAGGTCCCGTTCAGATGAAGCCAGTTGAAACAAACTTGTATCCCGGAAAACTTTGTCAACCTACACTTTTTGGGACCTCCCTCCCTCCTCCTTCGTATTACTGTCATTTATACATGGTTTGATATCAGCACTATAACGTTTGTGTCCATGTTTTTTGAGCATTGATTTTGTACAGTGCTTGCACACAGCTTGCTTTTTCTTTTGCATTTGGATTTTTGGAGCTGTGGTTCTGTTATCGAATACTTATCTACAGGGGTAGCATTTCCCCATATGTGGAACTGTAAGCTGTACAACCCCAACAAGGTCTTATTCTGCTTATTCTCAACATGTACATCAACTCTTAACCGCTATAGGTATATGTATATGCGCAGGCTGAGGCGAGGGGAAAGGACAGAGAATATGTGACTAAGGGGCCAGGGGGCCAGGTCTATACCCTGAACCTCCAATTGCCCTTCTATGAAGTCATCTATGATAACCCCCAAGCCATAAAGAAATGGGTACTCAGTGGAGGGGGGGGATTTGCTCTGGACTAATCAAGGCATTGGTATTTGACAAGCTCTCAAGGAACCCTGTCAGACCCGATCACCAACTGGAGAGCAGGTTGGAGGGGCAGGAACAGCGACGCGCTGCTGCCCCCTTCAGGCCTCCTCGGTGTATTTCTTCGTGCTGAACCTGGCGTTCACCAGGGGCTCAAATCCCTTCCTGTGCCTCCGGTGCTGGAAGACGACCAGCAACACCACCAGCACCAGCAGAGCGATCAGGGCGCCTCCGATGGTGGACCCGACCATGACACCCCAAGCGCTGGCCTCTTGCAAAGGCTCTGCGAAGGCGGAAAACAAAGTCATCAGAGAACAGTGAGGAAGCTTTGCACCTAGAAATCAGTTCTTCTGGAGGGAAAGACACCTCCCCCCCCTCCCAAGGCAAGCAGGAGTTCCCTTTCGACGTCCCCCATGAAGGTGTTGCTCCGGGCCTTAAGGACACATGATGTATAACGGCTGGGGGCTCCCAAGATCTGTGTTTTTGGTAGCTCCTGCCCCAGATTCCCACTTTGCTCACGACACATGAGCATGGATTGTGGCCTAAGACTGCAACCCCTTTGCACTTTCACTTAGGAGCGAGTGCCGGTGAATTCAGAAGGGATTTGCTTCTAAATAAACGTGCAGAGCTTCGGGTGCAGCGCAGGCAAACATGAACACATTCAGAAAAGGGTTTTGATGCAGCTGTTGTTCAAAAGAAAAAGTTTTTTAAAAAAAAATGCTTTTACGTCCCATTCATTTTGATGGGAAAGTTAAGTGTGTGCTTACTATCTTACCATGGAAAAGGTATTTGAAATGGCTACACTTTGGCTGGATTAGAGGGGGGAGAAGAAGAGGAGGAGGAGGAGGAGGAGGAG